TTATCAAATTGGGTTTCCCAGGATACATCTACATAGTAGGAATATGATTACCATAAAGTAAAAGTCACATGGGCAGTTAAAGTTAGTTATGTACAAAATGCGAAAGTCACATGGGCAGTTAGTTATGTACAAAATGCTAAATCTAATCTTGGTTGTAAAATTAAAACTGACATGGATTAATCCCAATGAAAATACTTTTAGTAACACATAAATGAAAATGGAAGAATTGGGAACTATTTTTGATATATAGAAAATGGCTCAATGAATTTTGCACTAGAAAATACAAAATATAGGAAGGAGGGGAGCAAGAGATGAGGCTGGAGAGGAGGCCAGAATTTGTTCCTTAATCCCATGGGAAGTAGAAATCACTGACCAGTTTTAAGGAGGAGAGTGACATCAAGCTTGCATTTAAAAGTGTATTGCTGCCTGCACTGTAGAGAGAATGGCTTGGAGTGGGCAAGAGGTGCACTACAGGGTCCCTCTGAATTGTATAGATCAGGAAGTTACCAGATAAAGGCAAAGGACTGTGGGAGGGCGAAAGAGGGAGAGGGAGGGAGGGAGGGAGAGAGAACACCTGTGGCTACACATGATAGGAAAAGGATAAGAAATGGGGAGCCCCTCAGTTTTTAGAGAGTTGATATTTGAGCTGAGCCTTGGAGGGGAGAAAAGTTCGGAAAGGTCATGGATGGGAGGAAGAGGAGGTGAGGGGCAATCCAGACAGAAGAGGTGGCATGAACAGAGGGAGGGTGCACAGGTCCTGGAGCCCCTGGCTGAATCCCAGGCCCATGTGCAGAGACCCTGGAGAGGAGTCTGAGGAGGTGCTTAAGGAGAGATCGTCTAGAGAAGTGTTACAGCAGAGTGAGTGGTCCTTGTCGTCCCGCCCCTCCTCCCCACATGGATCCCAAATATACGCATGTATATATTACACCCCCACACCCACTTTTTTTTCCTCCATATACTAATATAAGTAAATTGAGGTCTTTATCAGCTTGAGGGAACCAGTTTGGCAGGATAAGTTGCTAAAATTCTAAGCTGAGAATAGAGAAGCCTGTTGTTTCAGGTAATCATGTAATCTCATTCCGGATAGCAACACGACTTTTAGCCTTAACTTTTTCCCTCCTTTTGAATAAGTAATGCATGCACGTAGCACAGAACTTAAAATATACAATATGAAAGGGCATATAGTACTTATTCTTTTCTACACCAGTTTCTTGTATAATCTTCTAAAGCTTTTCTGTGCATATAAAAGAATATATATTATTTTGATATTTTTTATGTTTATGGTAGATATTTTACACAATATCTACCATAAACGTATATTCTTTTACACTCAGTTCATTTAGGATAGCATTCCATTTTNAGCATGCATAGAGCTGTCTCATTTTTTAATGGGCCGTATTCCATTCATGATTAGTCATTAGGAAAATGCTAATGAACCTGCAACGAGATACTGCATACCCACTAGAATGGTTAAAATTAAGAAGCCTGATAACACCAAATATTGATGAGGATGTGGAACAACCAGAACTCTCGGAATACACTGCTTGTGGGAGTATAATAGGGCACCACTTTGGAAAATGACTTGGCAGTGTCTTATGAAGTGAAGTGTATACTTACCCTATAGCCCAACCATTCCACTCCTAGGTATTTACCCAAGAGAAACAAAAACACATCACAGCAGCTTTATTTGTAATAGCTGAAGACTTAAAATGAATCAAGTGTTCATCAATAGGGAAATGGATTAACAAATTGTCACATCCACACAGTGGAATACTACTCCGCTGAGTAGTATGCAGATACAGTGAAACTAACCACTAATCCACGTGGCAACGTAGATATGTCTCAAAACCTTTGTGCTGAGCTTTGTAAAGAAGACAGACACAAGAGTATGTGCTGTCAGATTCCATTTATATGAAGTTCTAGAACAGGTAAAAGTAATGTAGAAATCAGAGCAATGGTTGACCCTGGGGCTGGAAGGTATTGACTAGGAAGGGGCATGAGAGAACTTTCTGGGGTGATGGAAATGTTCTGTATTTTGATAGGGATTTGGATTACAGTAGTGTATACATTTGTCAAAACTCGTGAAACCTACACTTAAGATCTATGCATTTCATGGTATGTAAATTATATATCAATTTTTTAAAAGTTTATTGTGGTCTGGGAAGATCTGAATTACATTAGAAATAAGAACTGATTTCTTACTTTGTCGTGTTTGTTCTTTTTGTTTCCAAGCATATTAGCCTGCTTGTCCAGGCACTGTCTGGCTGCAGCCAGCTGACCTGTGGCCCTCCAGCTTCCTCTCCATTTTCCTTCCTCATGATGTTCATGTCCTGTTGTGCCCCTTCAGCATACTGGCTCCAGCCTGGGTTCTCTGGCTGACTAGACCCTTAAAGGGGCTGGGCCTTTTTTGTTTTAATATTTCAAGACACAGTTTTGACAAGATCAATAGGAGTAGGGACTATGTGGTGTCATAGAGATGGTGGGGACTTTGGAATTAG